ATATTTTTATTTGGCCTTATAAAGTAGATTGTGATAATGAAAGCTTTGTAATATAGTCCGTTTATTTTTTTTCTTATTTATCTGCCAAAGACAGTAATGGATACAAGAATTTTAAATAGTTTTTTTTTGTAAGACAGTTAATGATTGTAATAGTGTTTAATCTTCCAAAAAGCTTTATATGTTCTTCCGCAATAAGCAGAATCGCTACTTGTTTCAGTAAACTCAACTCATGCTAACAGATCCCTGAGACTACTCATACACACCGCGGTCCTCGTAGTATCTCCCCGTTAAGTTCACACGCATTTTGCAATCCAAAGGAAACGAGGAGTATGTGAGATGACGACAATGTCCACTACTGTGCTCAGCAGTAGGTGGTCCAGCTTACCAAAATTTTCCAAGGTACTTGTATTATGAAAGTTAACGTATATTTTATTATGCCATTTTATGTCATTTTTTAACTTTGTGGAAGGTGATATGTTGAACTGAGTGTAAGCTGAGTTTTTCAGACAAATAAAGTAGCTAAAGAGTGAATGTTATTTTATCATTAAAGGGTTTTTACTCAATGATTTGTGCCAATAGATGTCCTTTATCTTAATGACAAGTATTACATTGTTTTCAAATTTTTATTTATAGCTATTGATGTAAAAACCACACACACATATTATTTGCCAAAGTTCAATAAAGGAGGAAAACAACGCTTTTGCTTCCTTGTGCGACGACCCGTTCCTGTTCTTTGCAGGTGCCTTCTCAGCGAGCAGCCCCTCACCACAGCCCCGTGCTGCTCCCCACCAGGCCAGCAGCAGCCCCGGGGTGCAGCAGGGTGAAACAGAGCCGGGCAGTCAGATAACACAGGGCCACATCCCAAAAATGTGACACTGCATGTAGGATCAGGACAAGTATGAGCAAAAAGCATCTGGGAAAAAAAAAAAAAAAGGCACGTTCATCTGTGAAGGCAGCTCATGTAGCTAATGCTGGATATGCATTATAGAACAGGGGAAAAACAGGGCATGAGGAAAAGCAACTTAATTAGCCCGCAGATGATTTCTCAAGCGGACGGTTTTGCAAACCTCCTCTCCCAGACCTCATCTTGCAAAGATTTTCCAGTGCATTAACCTTTACTCCTGTTCATCATGTGCGGCACAAGGCAGCCACATTGACTCCAGTGCCACCACCTGAGGTCTTCGCGGGACAGGGAACTGGGGCTTAGCGGCAGTGCTTGGGGGGGAAGCAGCAGGAACTTGCCCACGGTCTTTGCTGTGCTGTTGCTCTGATGCTGGGCCCGGGTGCTCCTCCGTTCCCTCCAGGCACTTTGATTCTTGGCATTGGTTTGGGGAAAGGAGCTGACCTGGGGGCTTTGCAGATAGGAAAAGCATCGTCAACTGCATTTGTTAGCACAGCTTGGTTATTGGTGCACAAAATCATCTCTCAGCTTGGTCATGAGGCCAGGCTCAGAAAGGTTTAGCACCTGCGAGGAGCCACGTGTCCTTCAGAGAAAGCTCCTGGCATCACCCCCATGAGGGACTGGGCTGCTGCCCAGGGCAAACCAGCTACAGGAGGAAAGAACAAAGACGGGTCACCAAACTCATCGTTTTTGTCCTTCCCCTTTTCCAATGGCCTCTGGTTTTCCCAAGAAAAATAATATCAATAAAAAAAAGCCTCAGTCAGTGGTAAGTTGCTGTCTACATCATAGCAGTCATGATGTTTGCTCAAGAACAAGTCATTCATATTTAGGTAAATAATGGGATTACATGATGCGGCACATCTTAAACTACCATCAAACGAGGTAAGTTATCCCCCATGGGGTTTCAGGCAGCCCAAACCAGGACACGGGGGAGCCCCGCATCCCATCCCCATGCAAGCACCGCAACCCGCACACGGGCAGCCTGGTGGCATCATGGAAGCCCATGTTGGTAAAGGGGCACCCTGGGTTTTATTATCTCACATCTAACCTTAGCACTGATTTTTAACCTTGTGGTTAATGGAATCACAGAAGAATTCATTTTCACGCTCATTCTCTTTATATCCCTCTCCTGATGCTGTGAGCCAGTCTGCCATTAATTAAATTTATGCTGCTTCATTTAACTTCACCGAGCGGCTACCGGTGCAAAGAGAAGCAGAGCTGCATCTTCAGCAGTTTATTTCAAAGAGCTCCGATCGGTGCTTTTGAAGTCTCCTCTCCACCCTCACCTCCCAGCTCTGGGGAGCCCGAGCACCCCGGGGAAGGGGAGGCACCGAGCTGGGCTGGCGGCCGCAGCATCTCACAGCACGGCGCTCCCGCGGGGCCAGCAGCCTTCCCATGCCCTGTCCCGTGCCACACTTCCATCACACGTAACCACCAATTGGTCGCCCATACACACAAAAAATCCAAGTCACAACTAACCAAGTATCAAATGCCCATTCACCTCAGCCCCAGCGTGCTGCCCTGCTGTGTGTGACCCCCCTGCAGCTCTCCCCGCTGGGCCATTCGGAGCAGCAGTGGCCCTAAGCTGATCCCAGCAGCAGGTTATTTCTCCCAGTGCGGCCCCAAAACCCTCACCCACACCACAGGCACAGCGAGGCACAACCCTGCCCTGTGCTTGCAGAAAGCTGTGGTGTTGGCTGCAGCTGCTGCTCTGCCCAAACGAAGGGGGGATGTTGCTTTGTGGTTGCTGACACACGGCACTTTAAGCCTCTTGCCAAATGCCCGCCTCTTTGGTAATTCAGCTGCGTGTTGGGAAGATGTTTTTGTATTTTCTGTGTCATCAACATGGCACCGTTACTTTCCCACTCCAGTGTTTGCTCTACAGTGCTGGATTATTTATATCTGTGTTCCTATCATTAAGTTGTAGCACTATAAATCCTGCCATTAACGTCCAGTAAAGGGCTTTAATTCACCTGCAGTGGATCGCAGCTGGTCTGCCCTCTACAACTAAGCAAACGTGCCCAGTGCTTCCTCCGAAGGCACGCCACTCACTCTTACCCAAAGCTGCTGATCAACAAGGATGCTTTGGCACCTCCAGGTTTGATGACTGAGCACTGAGCGAGGTGGGTATTTCTCTGGGTGGGTTTGTTTGCACACCCACACCACACTCAGACGGGTACAGTACGGGCAGCCCGGCTGTCCCGAGCTGCGCGGTGCAGGCAGCAGCGGGGTGCGAGGGGCGCCCCAGGTGCCAGCACCCCGGGGAGCAGCAGGGTGAGGGCGAGAACACTTTGCCAGCAAAAGGAGATAAAACAGAAGTGATTACGGCGAAACTAATGCAGCCCGCAGTAGGTCATTTCCATTTCACTTGCGGGACCGCTCCCCTGGGAATGCATTTTCCAGGCACTTAGCAGGGGCCACATCTGGAATAGGGAAGCGGGACCATTTCATTAAGCTGACAAAAAGCTGAAAGATGACCCGAGCGCACGGCAGCTGCAGTGCCGTGTCTCTGCGGCACGCCGCCTGCCTTCAGCTGGGGGGCTCGCTGCAAATCAGCTGCAGAAACCCCCTGGGGAAGGGATGCCCTCAGCACTGCCCAGGGGGCCGTGGGCTGTGCCCATGCACCCTGCAGCACGTGCTGGGAGCCACCAAGGCAGGGCGGCCCAGCACTACAGAGCTGCCGGGATGCTGAGCGCTGCCTGCATGGAGAAACTTGTGGCCCTGTGCTCCAAGCCCTGCTCAGGCTGGGGCAGCTGCAGAGCTGCCCAGGGCTGCATGCAGCCGGGTTTGGACACCCACCAAGGACGGTGATTAAGCAGAACGAAGGGCCAGGAGCAAAACCACTCGTGATGGGCAGTGTGGAGGGCCCTGGGGCAGCAGCGGGACTGTCGGTGCCCAGGTGGAAATGGGCAGTGGGAGGGCACGCACACACGTGGAGGAGAGGGAAAGGAAAGGGCCCTGCCTGCCACCAGACAGGCCCAGTGGAAAAAGCCTCCCAGGCTCTGCGCAGATAAAACCTCCGCGAGTGACTCAAGGGTCCATCTCCGAGCAGCGTAATGGCAGGAAGCCATAATATATTAAAACAGTAGATTAAAACAAACAAGGGCATTTTGGATCAGATTACACATCACTTTCCTCACGTCTGACAACAGAAGAAATCAAAGGCAGTAAAAGACAATCGTAGACCATAATGGTCTAATAACTCTGCGATAAAAGTACTTGTGGGAGTACGCTGCCACCAGCTCAGCGCCGTCCTCGGATGCAGAGCGAGCCCTGAAATCCGCAGCGTGTACTCAGGAGCATTACGGCTTAAGTGCTCGTTTAAGACTTCCTTGAAAATGCAACATGCTCACTTGAGAAACGTAATTAGGCCTCAATTGCGGGTGATGTTCACACGTTATGGATCATCCTTAAAAGTGACAGGAAGAGGATGGCCGAGGGCTCTGGGTTCTGCATTACAGCTCCCTCCCCGCCTTCCCAGGGGAAAACAAGGCCTGGGCTCAGCCTGCACCAGCTCCTGCTGCTGGTGACCCCCCCACTGGTGGCCCCCCAAGTTGGTGACCCCTGCCAGGTGGTGTGAAGGGGCTCAGGCAGCCCCACACGTTTCACTGCGAGGTTTGCTTGCCATCCCAGGCCTGATCCCGGACAATTTCACAGACCCCCAGACATTTTCCCAAGCTTTGAAGGGCCAGCTGCTATTGAAGTACTTCTTCCACCCTCTAGCACCCCTCTCACAAGAGCCAACGTAAACCCCAAACAGTGTCCAGACCCTGAAGTCCCCGCAGGGCAGCTTGCTGTCTGCTCGAGCAGCCTTCTCCTGGGGTCAGACAACCACAGCAGCTCCCCTGTGTATTATAGCCCCCCACGTGCAGCTCCCCTGTGTATCATAACCCCCGGTGTGCAGCTCCCCTGTGCGTTACCACCCCACGCCCCGGCAGCACACCCCACGCCGCCAGCACAGCACCTGCCGGGCGAGAGGCAGTGGATTAGTGCTGCCTCCATCCATCACCGAGGATCACCTCGCCCTAAGCAGGCTCAAGTCGATTCCCTTCGATTTCCAGCAGTCCCCGGGCAGAGCTCAGCTCCTCAGGCGAGCTTTCAGTTCCACCAGCCCCCAGGACAGGGCGGTGGCGATGCCAGGGGCTCTGAGAAACAGTGAGCCCGACGCAGGCCATGTGCACAGCACCTCCCTCAGCACTGCAGTGTGCATTTCCTTGTTCCTGAAGCAAGAGGAATAAAATATAAATCAGCACAGGGCAGGGCCAGCCCTCAGTGCCTCGTGGCCAGGTACCAGCAGGGCACCAGGAGGGAGCAGCGGCTGTGCCCTGTGGGTGCTGAGCGAGCCCCAGCACCCCCGTCCTCAGCACTTGTAGAGGAAACAGCTCAGGTGGGAAATTGCAGTCACTGAAATACCAAAGGGAAGAAGGGAAACGTAGCCACTGCTCTTCCCTTGTTCCCATCTCCTTCCAGCCATTCCTCTCTCTCCCTCCCATCAAATCTAGTAATGAGAGCTCACTAATGGATCAGCTTAAGTATACAGCAACTCTCATCACTGTTCTAAAAAATAATCAATCAAGCACTTAATTTTTAACATAAGAAATAAGCTGCCTGGAGACTGTTAATACATAACTAAATAAATTAACAACTGCAGGTGGGATTCAAAACTAACACAAGGCATTCTCCATCTTCTTGAGCCTGCTGTACAGAAAGCATGCAAAAGCCGTGCTTTAACAAGAAGCAGGGTGATGTTAAATTAAATTGCTCACCATCTCCACCCTTGTTGTTCCCCATGTCGCTGGATCAAGCGATGGATCCCGCTGAACGCTGCCCCACGCCTGCTGGTGGGTGCTTGCCTTGGTGCAGAGACAAGGAAAGGGACAGAGGACACCAAGCACGCCATAAAGGGCTCACGACACAGACACAGACACACGGCTCAGTTCCTTGTTCCAAAAAACTTTAATTGAAATTCCAACTTCGTGGTAAACAGTACACAGCAAGATTATACAAATTGTTAATTACATTAAATGGAAGTCCTTGTTCAATCTGAAATACACGTGTAGGACTAAGAGCAAGTATTTGTACACATCTGGTATTAAAAAAATAAACATGATTTCTCTCTCCTTTACAGCTTACATTTCATGTTGATTTCCAGCTCTCTTGTTGTGACAGAAAGGGAACATAAAGCGAGCTTCTAAATATTCCTAGGAAAATCCTGGCCCCACTGACCTCAACTGCAACATCTGCTTCTCCATGGCAAGTGGGAGCGTAGCCTGCTGACATTATTCACACGCCTTTTAATATTACAGCACCGCTTTTGGAAGCTATCACATTTTCTAAAATGCACCCAGTACCGAGGGAGATTTTATTAAACTCCAAAAGAGAAAAACTTCAACTAAAAAAAGGGAAAAGAAAAAAGCCAAACTGCAGACTTCCATCAGGACAGTCTCACCATGAGCAAATTCTTCACAGCACTCCATTCGCAAGCACCTTTCCCTCCCCACCTTTTTCCTGAGGATAACCAGGCTCAGGCCAGAGCTCGGCAGCACCAGGTTGGCTTCTCGCTCCCCAGCTGTGTGCCAGCCCGCACCGTCAGCTGGGAGCTGCAGTACTGCGAAAGGAGAATAATTAATAATGGAAAAAATCAGACTAGATTTCTGTCAGAAGACTGCAGTCTCCCAGAGGCTGACACTTCCACGCACTCAGATAATTCAGAGCAAAGTGCTCAGGATCTGACAGGACCGGGTCCTGAGTCAATAGCACCAAATGTTCAAAGTCTGCCAGAGGGGAAAACCGAATGCATAACTGGGGGATCACACCCGCAGTCTCGCAGCCACAGCAGCTACAGAGCACCGCAGGGTGCTACCAGGAAGGCACAGGTGGATGGGATTCGCCTCTCCTCGCGCCGGGCGTGCAGGGCAGCAGCAGGGCAGAACTCAGCCAGCCCGCTGCGGGCATCCACTCGGAGGGGAGATGAATCCTTTCTTAGAAGCGCTTATGAAAAAACAGCTTTTGACCACGAACAGTACCTAGGAGACCAGCTCAGATGTTGACATCAGGATTGGAAGCATCTCAGTAAGGTCAGGAGAATTCCACTGCCGGTTAACGTAGTGGGAAATGCTCCCAGACATCAAACCCAGCATCAGAAGGTCTCAACGGCAGCAGAATTCCCACTGTTACCAGTCTCTCTGGTTTCTTTTTTAAAATTGAATTTTTAAATGCCAGGGGAAGAAACTGATTCCTATTAAAAATAATAGTGGAGCTGCTACTTAACTTGCTCAGATAGCTTTTCAACAGGCTTTTGATGCTGCTCTAAGACAAAATAATGTGCATTAAATAGCAGGAGAGTGATATCACAATAAACTATTAAGCAAAATGAAAAACCCCACCAACTCTATGAGATGAGAGACATCTGCTAAAAGCTAGAAAATTAAGTGATTTCTGCATTATGGCCTAATAGCAACAATTGCTAAAGATGCTTAGTAATTATCTCACTTGTGGTTAGCATACTAAAAAGTGCATTTTAAATACCTTTTATTACTGGGGACAAACATAATGCCTCATAATTAGTGCCAGCTAATATTTTCAGTACTCTCTCCAGTATGGAAATAAAAAGCTGATCTGTATTTATAGCATTGCAATGATCACATAAAATCAACCTTCAGTTTTCAGCTGCAGACACTGAAATGTGCTGGTGGCAACCTGGGTCTGGAGGTCGCAATAACCTTCAGCTGGTAGGAAAGAGGCATGAGTGGGAAGTTTTTACAAAACAGACTGTTTGCCACTCACCCACAAGCATCAAGCAGAGAAGTGGGAATGGAGAAAAGTTCATCCAACAACAGGAGACACAAGGGATTCGCTCCCCACACGTACTGCTGACATTGTCAGTCCTCTGACATTGATTCAAAGCCTCTCCATAAAAATGTCACCCCTTCATACATGATACCCCTACTTACTCTGCCTGAGAGGGCAGGAATCAGCTTCGCATTCCCTTTTCCTGCTGCGGCAGCGAGCAGAGAGCACGAGCTGAGCAAGAAAGGCAGAAGGGAGACACGTAACAAACTCCCTGCAGCACTGATGCGGGAATTCAGGTACTCTCCATGCCAAGACAGACTGAGCTAAAGACTTGAAGGCAACCAAAGGTCCTGGAGAGAGCCAACTTTGACTAGGTAGTGTCTTGTGGTCACGCTACTGGTCCTACTCAACACTCTAAAGCCCGGTCTCTACTCATGTCTACAAAAGGGAAAAAATTCCCCTATATTCTCCCACTCTTTGAAAACCGTACACCTCTGCTAGTCGGGGAGCACTACAAACACAGCAAGGTTCTGGAAGTCAAAAGCCCAGGGCAGGGAGCACACAGTGGCACGTCCTTGGCATCGGCAGAGCTGCCCCTGCGTCTCCCTGCCCGGAGAAGAGGCACAGGTACAAAGGGTGGAGGAAGACTTTGTTTCTGCTACAGCAACAAGGGGGCAGCAGTAACACAGGCAGTTCTGGCACTGAAGGAGTTTAATTCTGTCTCACCACAGTCACATTCGGAAGCTGCTGGATGGCAGTGGAGACTTTTCAAACGACCCTCAAGACTTACTGGGGGGCCGTGGGCCCTACCGAGGCAGGAGACCAGGATTTACATCGCTCCCTGGCAGTACCTGGCCCACTGGCTGGCCAGCACGGCATCCATTCATTTCTTTAATACCCCACCTTTAACTCCTTTAGCAGTAAAATAGAACAAGATCAATCTCTGTTACACCAGAGGCCTATTTTCTTTTTAATCAAGCCCACCATTGAAAGACCAGAAGCTCAAACTCTTCGTGCCTCAGTTACACCCGCGAGTAAACCTGTCTGAGCAGCAGGGCACCTGCTTCCCAAACCTCACGGTTAGCTGAATCATCACTGTACAGGAAACAACCTGCATTGCCAAAGGACTGGCGTTTCAGTGCTAGTTCAGTGAAGTAAACATTGACATCCACGAAGGCGACAGCTAGACTAATACTCATATGGCTCAGTCCCTGCAGACACTCACAGCTTGGCGGCTCCTCCAGCCCGCCAGGGAGGCCCCTGCGGGGAGGCCCAGTGACTGAGGTGCTGCAGTGCTCCTACCCTACGCTACTTCAGGTGCCGAGATCAGGCGTGCTGTGTGGTGACAGCCTCCGAAAGAAGTCCCCTCCCATCCCGAGACCAGCCTGGGTGCCAGTCCTGGTGCTGACAGCGAAGGGATGCTGCCCTCGGAAGGCTCCTCACGCACACAGCTACCACCACTAAGGGGGACTCAGCACCCGAACTCCTGCCGAAACAAGCAAGAAGTGTAGATGGGTTACGAGTTCATTAACTCCAGGCTCACGACTGGTGCCAGAAATGTAACAGACAAAACGTGGCTTCTGACAAAGGTACGTGTAAGCACACAGCCGGCAGCACGAGGGGCCTGCTCGCCTCTCTGCGCTCAGGCATCTGCAACGTGAATTACTCCTGATTCATCATCTCACTTTTAAATAACAACATCAATTAGGCTAGATCAATTGTACCTATGGAAGTCCATAGATACCCACAAATACCACAGCACTGTGACACAGTAGAAAGCACAGAGCAGATCTATAAACCTTCTAGAGAAGGAGCCTGACTAAATTTCCTTAACCAAACAGAGAAAGCCCTTTTTAATAATAATAATAATAATAATAAAGTCACTTTGCTGAAAACGAACCAGTATGTTTCAACTCACGCTGCTGATGGTTGCTAGATTTGAAACATACACAGTTTGTGTCAAGTGCACACGTTCTTCAGCATTGTCCAAACAGAATTTTGTCTTTCACTGTTATGCTTTTCAAGTGCTGGGGCTTTCCTGCAGATGATGAAAGTGTTTTAATCTAGAAAATGTAAACAAGTCTTGTGAGTTTTACTAACCCAGCTAAGCTTTCACAGGAAGTTTCTGGCAGGAAGAAACAAAACAAAACCTTAGCTTTATGTTCTAAAAAAATATACAATTATTTAAAAAGCATTAGAAGTCACTTGATCTTCAAACCCATCTGAAGAGATTGCTCTCAGAAGAGACAACTGGTGATGATGCTGGTTATGCTATGCCTTGCATAAACAAAACAAAGTAATTGTGTGCTTGCACTGGAAAACTGAAATTAATGCACTCATGAAAAAAAATGCATACAAAGAAATCCCTCTGCAGGAAACAAGCCAATTGGTATAAAAGCTTGTTAGGCTTTTCCGTGCTTTCATGCTAAGTCCAACCAGAATCAGATGAGATGAGACCTATTCACGTCTCAGAACAAACACCCTTGTTTCCCTACTTTCTACAAACACTTCTCAAACAAAGAAAACATAAGAAAAAAATTTAAAATAAAAAGTCAAATTCTCCAAGCTGCTATAGAGGTTAACACCACTGAGACTACCAGCCTGTAAGTATGTAACACAAGAGAGCTCCGTCAAGCAGATTTTCCTTTGCACCGCTTCACCAGGGCAATTTTCCTGCACAAGCCAGCCGTGCCATCCCGCACTGCTCATCACAGCTGCTGATTAGTGAAGAAAGCTTTTGTCTCCCTGCAGACAGGATTTACACAGAGCGGACAGCAGAGCGTTAACTGCTTCGAGCAGACTTCGTTCGACTGGATGTGTGAACAGACCAAGTCTGCCAGAGCCTGAAAGACAGTTAATTAAAAAACAGAAGTGAGCAAACCTCCTTGCATAAAATCAGAAAACACTTCAACGTGTCACACAGACTAGTGAGATCGCCAAACTTTGTAGCCATCAGATCTCACTCTACTTTTAAGCACTATCCCCCACTGATTCAGTGGAAAATCCTGTTTCAAAACTGCACTCGCATAGTATCTTAAAATAAGTATTCCATTAAACAATAACTATTAATGAATATAAAATTGCTTTTCTTTGTCAAAGCAAACTCTAGAACTTTAAAAAACAAACAAACATGGTCAACAAAACCTCTTTGTGGTATACTGATTAAGTACGTATTTCTATTTTTCCTCTTACATGAAAAATACTTTAAAACTACAAAAAGACATCCACAATCTAATAGGAAACACACAACTGCAAACTTTTATTACTAATTTACTTATTACTTATAAAGGTAATTACTAATTACTTTTATTACTAATGCAGCAAAAATACCTTAGAGAACAGTGGATTTCCATTCAGCGATTCTGCTCTTCTGATGTTTTCAACTCCACACTGGACCAAAAACAAGGAGAAAAGTTAAGTCTACTACATCTACTTACATGTTGCTAAAAACTCCCCTGAGTTAAGATTCATTTTCAATTTACAAAAAAAAAAAAAAAAGTCCCAAGTTATATTGCAAAGAGCACCTATAAAGCAAAATTTTGAGAGAGGAAAAATAATTTGAGAGCACCACTACCCAAACAGCTATGAAAACAATAAACTACTTACTTCATTTGCTAAAACCTGGGCATACTCAATATCCAGTTCATAAAGCGTTTCAATGTGGTCGCTTGTAAATGCTATTGGGACCAACAACATGTTCTTCTTTCCTCTTTGGACACAGGCCTTTAATGGTCTCATCTGTCTGCGGACCAAGCCAAGGCATTGGCCCAACCTGTAAGAAAAGTAGGAAAAAAACACTCAAGAAATCATTCTTAGAAAAAACACCCATCTTTTCCTTAAGCAAGGCAACACAGAGCAAGTTACATTTAAGAAGGAGACAGCTATCTCTATCTCTCTGCTTTTGACTCTTCCTTTCACTTTATCTGTTAGGTTTTTACAAAGACATACTGTCCCACTGTCCCTCCATTTAAATCCCCTAAAAAGAGAACCTGGGCTGGCCTTAAACGAGACTTGCATTAAAATAAAAATTTCAGTGAAGCTCTGCTATTTTTAGTTTAACAAAAGCCTGATCACTAACGGCAGGGGGGTTCACCTGCCTTTTGAAGATGGAAGCATTCAGGATGCAGAAAACCCACCTTAACCCTTATCTATCCATGAAGTATTTGGTGCTGATGTACCATAAGATGCAACTTTAAGAACAAAACAATGGCATGGTAGGTGTAATGCTCCTGAGACATATGGTTACTTGTACTACATAACTATGGTAAAAATTAAGTTCCTTGTTATTTGCAGTAGTAATAATAAGCAAAAAAATAATGCAAGAAGTCTTCATCAAGACTAATGAAGCTTGTCTGGGTTATGTGTATGTCATTTTAAAGACTGCCTATTTCACAGTGACAATTTCTGAAAAATTGCTCCAAGACCATCTAGAAGTAACACTTAAAAAAGCAATGAATGCTCTACTCTTCTTTCTGACAGCCAAAGAAAAATACCAAATTGGGTGGTATGAGATTGTAGGTTTTCTAACAGACGTATTAAGCATCTTCTTGTCTGGGGTTATGACACTGTGGGAGGACCACACACTCCATCGCCTGAAGCTCTTGGCAGCAGTGGGTGGTGGTGTGGTTCTCCAGCACCTACCTTGGACTGCCAGACCAGCCGGTAGGGGTTGGAGTAGTTCAGCTTCTCCATGACTCTCTGAACAGTAGCTCCCACTTCTTGTGGATATGGATCACCACGGTTCACTACCTTCAAGACACAAACAGCAGACGTTTTCTTCCAGGGAACGTCTGTGCGGGCACCCTGTCCTCGCCTTACACAGCCTTTTGCCACTGCCGAGCACTGGGGCAGTGGTGGGGACATGGTTGGTGGCACCAGGTGGCCGCAGGCACCACCGCCCCAGCCCACCCTACGGTCCCTGGCCACGGGTGCCCCCAGGGCTCCTCCTGCCCTTCCAGCTGAAGTGCCTTCCTGCCCACCAAACCAACAGCAAAGCTGCTTTACCAGGGCATCTGCTGCTCCTCCCTCCCGTGACAAAGGAGGAATTCTTCAATCTTCTCATACAGATATGATTACATTTTGGTAACAGCACTGATTTTTTTTTAAATGACTGGATTTCACTGCAGTCACTGATAGAGGATTATGCCCTTTAGTGCAGCCCTGCAAAGACACTACTTTCATTCCTCCAGGGAAAGGGTTATTAATACTTCCTAGAGGTGAGAAAATACCATTATCGCCCGGGTTTGAGCTGGCAAGTTTGTGAGACCATAAAAGCAGCCATATGGAGCCTGACCACCGATCCACCTAACCCAGTGCCCTCCCTTCAGGGGTGGCCAGCGGTGCACATCCGAGCAAATGCAGCAAAGCCACCACAGCTCACGGGCCTTGACCTCAGCTCCATGTCAGCCACAACTCAGCAACTCATCTTTCTATTTGTGTGGTTTTACTCTGCAAGCGTGCAAGCTGCACACCCTCCAATTCAGCTTAGCCAGCACGATTCTGGTCAGCAGTTATAGGAACAGCCCAACGTAACTCACAGACATGGGGAGCGAGTGAGCTGAGAAAAGGATGACAACATCTTTCCTTTTGTCAGGTGGAAACAGGTCCAGTTCCTTCTGTATGTGGTCGGTAAAGCACTGGTCAGAAAGAAAGAGCAGAGACTTGGATCAGGACTTGCTGGAAGGGAACCGCACACTGCGCAGGCAGAGCCACTCTCCTGCTGAGCACACCACAAAAATGGCAGAACCCAAGCCAAAAGAGAAGCTCTCTCCAGGGACAAATGTGCCATTTTCTCAGGAAAGGAAGGAGCAAGAAGGTTCCCTGTAACTGCTCCTGCACAGCCACTGCTGTGGCTACAGCTTCCTCTTTGCTGCCTGTGAGCTCTGATCCGACAGAGGAGACGTGATCTGTGGGAGTTCACCACAGACCTACTCTGAGCAGGAATTTGGGCTAACGACCTCTAGAGGTTCCTTCCAGCCCAAACTGCTTTAACAACAGGACTACACTCCTAGAACAAGGTGTACGTGGTGGTCACATTCACACATTATCATGCCAGAACATCTGTTGTGAAATAACCATCCTTCTGCAACTGCGTACACAGTAGACAAGACACATTTCATTACCATAACTAAGATGTACCCTTACACTGAAATACTCCTTTTATTCTTCTCATTTTTATTTTTTTATTTTTTTTTTAGTCAACAGGAAAAATATGTAAACACAACCTAAAGCAGCAAATTGGTTCATCTGCTTTTAGGATATTTCACTAGCTAAAAAGCTCATAAGCTTTGTTGCAAGCTATGACTAGTAGTCAGTGAGCTTTACTTACTACTGCAACTTGTAGTAAGTAAACTGATTCCTCAGAACATTCCTCTTGCTCAACATCGTGCAGTGCTTTCACTGGTAGCAAACATTTCTTAAAAAGAAATGGAATAAACATCTGTATTTACTTAGTTCTCTTTTCTTTCGAAATCAGGTGCTAATGCAAACATACCAAGTTTCTCCTACATTAACCAACCTCAGAAAACCCCTGGGAGCGTCCATCAGTGTGATAACACAAAACAGACAATGAGATAGCTGTGAACAAGCCCTTCTGACCCTGGGGTGCTGAAGCACACCCACACTGCACATGCACAGGACTGCAGCATTCCCCTTGCAGCTCTAAGAGTGCCTGAAGAAGAATATTTCGGGGTACCCTGTTGTCCCTGGAGGCCTCTGTATCAGACCCTGCTCAGTTCACACACCTCGTTCTGACTGCCAACTTCAAAGGCTCTCCTACAAACCCGTACCTGGATGAGCAGGGGATGTGTGGGCCACCGGTCAATTATACTCCACTTCATCTTTGGCTTCTCCCCCTTTTTATTGTAGTAGCGATAAATCGCATTTAAACTGCTTCCTGAAAGACAGGGAATTAACATCAGGTTATCCAAGGCATCAGCAACCTGTCGGATGAAAACAGTTTTGTAGCAAGGCGCTGCAATATGTTAAAATGGCATTCAGTTCAAATGCAACTCAGAACGGAGAACATCAGAGGGGAACAACCGCCTCAAAGCTCACACAGCGTACAAGAATAACTCGCTCAACCATTCCCTAACTGAAGAACAGTTACTGCAGTTTCCATGGAGAAAGCTTACTCAGTGGTGTTCCTGGGGCTTCCATTTATATTCTCTTGCAGTAATGACAGTAACGAAGCTATCCCTACCTAAAGAGTTTCTGGCTAGAACTCAGCACTGCAGTGAAGCACAGCAGAGCTGGAGCTGGCAAGGAAGCCGAGGGGACGGGCTCGGTGCAGGAGCTGCGGGCTCTCACCTGTGGTGGAGCAGCTGTACTGCGGGTACTGCGTGAAGGCGATGGCCCGCTCGATGCCGTCCTGCTCCATCTCCTCGATCGCCTCTTCCGTCAGAGGGTGCACGTACCGGAACCCGATGTAGTACTTGTGAGGCGCTGCCAGACAAAGAGAGGAGAAGTTGCAGAAAACAGCACCGACCCGTGACTTTCAGCAACACCGTGTTGCTACCAGGTACGAGGCACAGGACCCGGCAGGTAATTTCACCAAACTGTCAAAATAAACCTGTTGACACTTTCCTGGCTACCTTTCAAAACCACCGGCATACAAACACATCTTTGTCTGGTAAGCATTTGGCTGGTAACTCAGTTTCCTTTAGCAGAAACTGTAAGAGATTTACACGACCTGCAGAAAGCAGCAGCCTCCTCATTTCGGTCAGATAGCGGAGGCACGGCTTCTAGGCTGCACGGAGCTCTGAGCTGCTACTGGGAAGTTCGGATCTAAAGGATGCGTTGGTAAAAGCGTGCCACCAAAAGATGCTGAATGAACACAGCTGTGCCCTGAACAGATCACTGGTACACAAGAGCTGCGGTCTCCCTAACAGCACAGCTCACCTCACCGAAATCAGGAGTGGGATGCTTTAAATACCACAGCCTAATTAAACTGGCAAACCTTCGGGAAGACAAGGCTTTCTTCGTGCTGCCACCCACTCTGCTAAAAGGAAACAAATTCTTTAAGCAGCTTGTTCGTTCCAGGAAATGTTATTTAACTCAACTTTCAAACACAATTGGGCTATAATTGTGTGTGCCAGCACTGAGATGTTCTGCTCTGCAGTCGTCAGCTCGAGAGGGTCTGACTTTCAAAGAGGAAAAGGCACCTCACAGATCCCAGCTGCTTGCAAGGCAGGGCAAGAAAACCAGACAATTCTACCCCTTTTGTGTGCCAGGTGCCAGCAGAGAAGTCACCAAGCCAGCATCCCTCACGCTGCTGAGCTGCTCTGCTGGCACGGAAACCCCCAGGGACAGGGGCTTGTTTGGGGCAGGAGATGGGGGTGCTGAGGAAGGGAGGCAGGTTCTTCCATTTCTGGTTTGTTTCTGTTTTGCACAGAGACCTTTGTGCCTGTAAGCACTTCAGTGCTTTTTGGAAGCAAGACTTTTTTTTCCAAAGACAACATTTCAGGTTTTTCCATTTTCCACCTCTAACCTTCTGGGTGGCAGCTTTGAGGTTTGTGAGTGTGGAGGTTTATGTTTGCTTGTTTCTCCTTGATTTTTTTGTTTTGTTCTAAGTGGAGGACAGAGGCTTCTAGGAGAACAAACCCAAAGTTTCTTTTTCCTGGTTTCCAGGTCACTAGCTCTGAAATACCATTTAACAGGTTTCTGAAGGAAGTAATGTCCTGTGCTTGTTCTGCACTCCACAGATTTACGCAGGACTCAGGAGAGCAGGTTTAGCCAGCCCCAGTTCTTTGCAGGAGGCAGAAAAAAAAAAACCTCCCACCTGGGAGCAGTAGCAAGTAACGACCCACCCTCAGGAGCCTGGAGGCCAGTTACCTCTAACATTTTTAAATGGCATTGAAAACAAAAATCTGACTAACCAGAGCAAAGACAGGAGGAGTTTAACCTGGGAAAGGACATATCGGGAAAATTATGACCAACCTGGGAACTTCTTGCAATGCTCTCACAGCATTATGCTCTGTCCTGGATCACAGGCAGCAAGTACCAGGTTTTCGTGTGTGTACACGTTGGGTTTGCAGGTACAGTTAGAATCAGGATTACTCTTTCAGGTACACAACAGCTCCTGCTATGAAGAGCTGCCAAACTAAGAAAACAACATGGTCCCTTCATCCTGAGAGCCTTCATTCTTCTGACAGCAAGGGAATCTTGGCTAAAATACAGCTCGTAAAAATACTCAGAACCTTTGTAACTAAAAACAGTGGAAAAAAGCAAAAGGCGCCTTCTTGGAGTATAATTGCTGTGAGACATTAGCCTATTTGATGCTAGCCCTAAACAAACAGAAATGTATTTTCCTGTCACCACATTTGCGTGACTTATTCTTACAGACCACTGAGCCCACCCAAGTGCATTCATTCAGAGAGGAAGAACTCTTGTTTATTTTCAGGCAGCTGCCTGTGACAATAACGCTTCATTTTAGAATTATATTGTTCCCAGATGACATTGGTGAGGCTGTTTATTTACTGCTTGATCTTAGTCCCAATGTCAGGGAGTAATGTGTCAAATGTATTCGACAAGTCTACACGTCGGTTGATTGATTTACGTGAACAGGTGAGTTTTACAGGTGGACACCGTCCAACTCGAGCTCTCCATCAGCTGCAAATACACAAATAGCTGCAACCTCCAGGCCCCCCGCAAGTCCAGATCCAGGCAACAACAGATGCCAAGTGTTTCTTCCTCACTTTGCGTTTCACACGGCACAGACACAACCTGTGAGTTACTCGTTAACCATGCTCGGGGCTCCCGACACGCCGCACAAACACGGCACGCTGACCCAGAGCTCTGACGATAACCGCCCCGCTCAGGCTGCATGCACGCCTGCTTCAGGCTGCTCTGCAGAAACACAGAACGTGGTATCACTGCAAGGCTGCCTGAAACGCTGAAGGAAATGGTTAGCACATTTGGTATTTAAAACTATCGCTAGGTTACAAAAAAATAGCCTTTAAAGGACCTCTGAGGGGTAAGGACTGCAGAGAGGCAGGCGTGACTGTACAAAAACAGCACCGAACAAAAGTACATGGGAGTGGTGTGCTGGGAAAAGCAGATAAACTCGGTGAGTTTTATCTCCAGAACCTGTTGCAAGCCTGACCCCCGAGGGGCTGCAGCTGCCACACACGCTGCTGCCTTTGGAGCCAGGGCAGGACGCAGGCTCCGCTGCAGGCTTTTACTGTACTTGAAGGGACTGCAGCTGGAATTAAGTTAGAGAATAGTGTCTGTGGGGAAAAACAGGTCAAATACCAGCCAAACGAAGGCATCAGTGACGTGGTACATGCTGAATGAATAAGGGAATTCTGGAGCTAAACTTTGAAGAGCATTACTTTTCAGCTCCAGACACTTACCTTTTTTAAAAAAATAAAATAAAAGATCCATCTCTAGCCCTCTACTACCCCAATCTGAAGTAGGATCCACAAAGAATTACTAAACTGCTGAGAACCAAGTAACATATATGGTCTAACGTGGAGGGTGACTCCCTGACCTGCCAGCATCAAACCTGCAAAGGTCGTGGAAGCCGCAGGGAGCAGGCAGCTTGCAGCACCACTCGGCATAGAGCTGCTGAGCTGAAGAGAGCGGCGAGCTCCCCTCTTCTGCTTCTCGTACTCCAGCAGCTTTTCCAATACAAACACTTAGTGCTCCCGTTGGAGCGGCAGGATGAGAAGCATTATCTGCAGCTGACACATTGGGGAGGAACACAGTGGGCAACTCGGTGATCTCGTTAATTCCTTCTACTCTCAAAGCTGCCTTGCTGCTTCAGGAAAAAAGCGTAATGCCGAGAAGTGCCTTACTGGAACAAAGGTGGCCCCCAGACAGCTCGTTTCAGGCAGACCAACCATCGCATCACTGTTTCTCCTGGCTTGCCAAAGCAGGGATGATTCACTGGGTCTTTTTTCTCTGTCCCACGAGATGACAGAGACAGAAGACCGCCAGTACCCTCAAGCTGCTGCGCGGGTGTCAGCCTGATTGCTGGTGCTGCCACTCACATTTATTAATGCCATGCTTTTAATGGCACCTGTTTTAATTTCACATAGCAAGAAACTAGCATAAAAAGTACTGCAAGCAAATGATCTATCGCCTTCAGCATGAGGCAGAGGAACAAAGACTTGAATTCATCACAGCTGCTAACTGAGCAACACCGCAAGATAAAGTCAAATTCAGCTAACAACCCGTCTGAAAGCAGTTCAGCCAAACTGCTGCAGATTCCACCACGAATGCATGGGCTAAAAATGACTCTTGTATCTATCTGGTTGGGGGTTTTAGGAGAAAGCCATTGAACACAGACAAACCACAGCTGGCTAACACAAGGTGAACGACCCCAATGGCCTGTGTTTGCACACCCAGCAGGTTGCAATCACCCACTGCAGTGCATTAGCTTAAGGCTTTGCTAATTTGGGCACTCACAGAAGCATCTACACCATTTTGCCATCACGCTGGTGCTCCCAGGCACAGTGGCACAGGAGAACCCACACCAGTCATACCTCCCTGCTGCGAGGGAGCAAGGTTCAGAGAGGCTCTGTGATCTGCAGAGCGGGGAGGGAGGCTTCGTTCACCTTTCAAGCTCTCTGATAGTCGAGGAAGAACTGGCAAAGGCAGTATCTACTCCTAGCCATGCCAAGCCATTAGGCCTTATCGCCTGCTCATGTCCTCGGGCGGAGCTCACCGCTATCACTCGCCCAAGCCCTGCAGTGCTCAGCCACAAAACATATCTTTTCTTCCTCTTCAGGCCCGGAATGGGGCCTTACTGGTGTTAGATCTTTTATCCATTAGCAGCAGCTACAGATTCAGGCAACGTGACTCAGGAGAGAGCTCTGAAGCAACCAGTAATTTCGGGGGACCTTTCACAGGAACAAAAGGCAGACCTGCAGCTTTGGGGAGCAGTTTCAGAGTGCTGACACCCTCCTGTGCAGCCACCAACCCTTTCAGCTCACACTGGCATACCAGACAGGTACAAAAGGCATTACAGCATTAACTTCTGGCCTCAGAGCTGGATCGTGCCAGCCAGTCCCTGCACAGCATCCCGCCGAGCTGGCCCCGTGCAGGAGGCAAAAGGAACAGGGAGCACAGCTCCATCGCAGCCCCAGCTGCTGGCGTGCGGAGCTGAGTGGCACCGTGCTGCCGTCAGCTACAAGCAGCGGTCACGAGAAGGTGGCCGTGCATCGTACAGCAGGAGATCCCACCCTCTGTGAAACTCAATAGATCAGCGCGCAGAACAGAAGCAACCAGGAAACCCTAGACTGACAGACTCCTTAACTCTGGGGGTGCATTCACACATGTGCAGCCTAAAAGGATCGTCATTCTCACTACACCTCTTCATAAAAGGTACAAAAATTTGAGCTACAGTCGCATGAGGTTATACAGCCACTGCCAATGGCCACTAATCTCCATCTCCTTTACCCTAGCAAGAATGCCACTCCCATGGTGCCATTCCTGATGGCTGAAGTCACACAAGATGAAACGTGCCAGAGGTATCTCAGGGTGGCCATACAGACAGCTCCAACTAGTTACCTCGGGCACAGAGGTGGCAGCTGAACCACAGCACATACTGGATCCAGCCTGAGAAGGTGGGTACGGACCTGGCTGTCGGCTTGTGGTGCCACAGCCGTTACTGTGTGGTGAATGAGTACTGACAGCCAAAAGCAAAAGCTTGCTTTACAAGCTCGTGTTTTCAACACATCAGGCTGAAGAAGCTTCTAAGAACCGTGGTAAAGAAGTACCTGTGTGAGGAGACATGCTATCCAGCAGCTTCACCATGCCTTCTCCCTGCACTGCCGTCCACTTCTTGATCGGGGACCCACCTCCAATCCTGCTGTACTGCTCCTGGATCCTCGGCGTGCGGCGCTTAGCGATGAACGGTGCTAACTTACTAGAGCATTCAGAAGGCACACGTGTTAATACTGTAACCCCAATCACCCCCACCCCCTTCCCCAAAAAAACTCTACTGGAGTGGGTTTTTTTCTGTGGCAACCTCCCCAAACGACAAGCAAAGCAGCACGGGGTGGCTTGTTTAATGTTACGTTCTGTCACCCTTCCCAAACTTGCCAGGTGACAGTAAACCAGAATTTGCAGTTTGAAGAGATTGACCTTGGCACACTTATTTCCAGAAAATTACAATACCTGTCTTGCACAATCTGGTCCCAAAGACTAAACAGTCCTAAGAAATGCTGATATACGTTAAACTAAAGCGTAATGCCTGAGCCTGCAGTTAAGACAAAAACATTGCACAATGACCGTAACACACAAGCTCCTGGTGCTTCTTACTTTTGTGCTGGCAGCGTCATTAGATCCCTGTCCAGGAAGAGACGAAGTAAGAAGTCATGCACATCATCCAGCCTTTCTGGACCTCCCATGTTTAACATCAAGATTCCTGTTTTAGGTTTCCTATGGAAGGAAATGACATTTCAAACCTTAGCTACATACTGTTTTTTTTTTTTTTTTTAATTGCAGCCACCCAGCCAGGCCTGACCCCAAACTCACCGCGCTTCTGGCTGAACCTGGGGCTTCGTGCTCTTGGCCGCCACGGCCGCGGACGCCTGGCCTTGCCATCGGACGGGGACCCGCAGGGAGCTGCTGCTTTGGACAACTGGAGGAGAGAGAACAAGGCATGGGAAACCTGGCACCGGGCAGGCACCAGCCCCGCATCCGCTGGGGAAACGCTCGGCAGCACCGAGCCCTTTGGTGTCTTCTGCCTTAAACGCCAGGTCCTGGAATCAGAAAGCGCGAGCTTTGGGCTTTCTTTAAACCCAGCGCACACCCACTGGGGCAGCAGGCAGCAACCTAAAAACCAACAGATGTCTCCCTAAGTCCGGCTCCAGCTGTAAGTATGAAACAACTGCTGGAAGCACGGGTACGGGGGCACCCGGGCTGGCCTAAACACAAGTGTTCCTGCACCAGCCTGCGGAGCAGCAGCGGGTCCGGGTGCCCAGCGACCCCCCCAGGCACAGCTCCCCTCACCGGGACTGGGACCCGCTCCCTGGGGGCTGCACCAGGTCCCGCAGCGCCGCGCTCCTCCCGCTGCCCCCGCACAGCCCCGCTGGGACCGGCACGGCCCCGGCACTGCCCCGGGACCCCAGCGCCGATCCCCGCAGTCCCCCGGTGGATCCCAGCCCGGCCGGGAGCCGCCGCCTGGGGCCCGGCGGGGGCGCGGCAGCCCGGGGCCGGCCCGGCGCCGCTGACGCCGTTACGCAAAGGCGGCCCCGGCGCGGCCGTTGTGTAACGCGGGGCCGCTGCCCTCCGCCGGCTCAGCTCAGCCCGGCACGGCTCAGCCCAGCCCGACACAGCCCAGCCCGGCTCGGCCCATGCCGCCCCCCCGGCCCCGCGCTCCCTCCCCCTCCGGCCGCCTCCCGGGGCTAACGGGGCCGGGACCCGCCGCGCACTCACGGGGCCGCGCGGCCCGGGCGGCCGCAGCCATGTTGGCGGCCGCCTGCATTCCCTCAGACGGCGCCGCCGCCGCCTCCTCCCGGCCGCTCCGCTCCGCTCAGCCCCGCTCGGCCCCGCTCGGCCCCGCTCGGCTCCCGGCCGCCCCGCCCCGCCCGCCCGCGGGCACGGCGCACGCCCCGCCGCAGCGGGGGGCCGGGCAGGGCCGGGCAGGGCCCGCAGCGACCCGCCCCCGGCCCGGGGAGCTGCCCTGAGGAGATAGCATCTGGCCGCCGCGATAGCGATCGCGGAGCTGGCGGCTGGGGCCCGGGAGGCGGCGGAGGCGCTGCCCGCAGCCCAATTTGCCCATTAGCGAGCCCATTAGCGGGCCGCCTGCAAGCGCCTGCAGGGGGAACAGGGGCCCAGGACGCGCACGACGTCCAAGTTTTAATTGCGCCTTGTATCCTCTTCCGAAGATTTGTTTACCCTTCCTAATTAAGCTCCGCTGTGCTCCAAGCACCTGAGCGCCTTTCTGAAACCTGCTATGAGCGGCCACACGAGCAGGTTAGGGGTGACTCGGTGGCACCCTTCATCCCGCTCACCTTTTAGGCTCCTTATCCAGGCCGCCTCTGCCACCAGCTCCCCGCAAGCCCTCTGACGAAGCAGCGCCCCGGATATTTTAAGGCTTTTAACCTTGACAAAGCAGCTCATCCCTTCCGCTTTGAGGGACAGAAAACTTTTCCTGCTTTTCCCTGTTATTGTCTCTACCAGGACAGAATGTATTAAGCAAGTGAGCTATAAAGGCCAAGTGAAGGTAAAGAAACAGACATCACAGGTTAAGAACTACTGTCCTGCACACCAACTTGCGTTGACATAATTTATTGGTTGCTGATTTAGACCAGCTTGTATATTTAACATGCAAGATGAAGAAAAAAGCCTTTTATTAACAAAAATACGGATATCGCACAGCTCAACATGAATGGCAAATCCAGATAGTGTCTCGGTTTTCTTCCTCCTAGTAAACAGGCTTGCATTTATGGCTAAAAAGGATGCAGATGATTCAACACATTAAATACTTAATTCTATTTGATAACCTGAATACAGCCAGAAAGTCTGCTAAGATGCAGCAGGACAAGAGTACACCAAGCTAGCAAGGAAACTGTTCTACCGTGAAAACATCCTTTAGCACGAAGCGGGAAAGCACTGCTCGAATTACAGTTCAAGAGAGGACAGTAATTCAGTCAGCACACAATGCTGAAACCCAATTATACTTCAAAATTACAGATTCTTTGGGTTTTCGGTTAGTCATTTCTTGTTTGAAATAGAGGGAATAACCTTCGTTTCAAAGGCACCACAAACAATCTGGTGTCTCTAAGCACATCCTCACCTACTATAATTCAGATTATGCTGGGAGTTCATGGTCCCACTGTAGCACTCCATCCATGGGCATCAGGAAAGAGTATCAAAGCATACCCCACAATCAGTCTTACCATTTTTAATTAATAGAATTAATAGTAAATAATTTGGGAGAACAAAAGTCTTTCAGTAGAATTTAGCGCTTGATACTACATAGCTTACAACTGAATAAACTCAAACAGAACTTCCATTAAAAGCAGTAAGCTTAAAAAAAAGCACAGCACAATTATTCTCCATCTTTATATTTTGTTGAGCTATTTAGAGACATTTCTTCATACCACTCTCAGCGGTCAGGATTTGGGAATTTAAAAAGCTTGAACCGATTTCTTCAAAAGAAACCACAAGAGAAAAAAAAAAATCTAAAACGCCAGCTTAGGATTTTTGTTTTATGTTGACATGAGAGCATAAATGCACCTAACATTATTTTTCTAAGGCTTCTTCCAGTTAATCAGTAGCGTTTTCCTTAAAAAATGGTTTTCTCACACACCAAATTAATGAATATATGAACAACAGCTTGCAGTAAGTCTTGTTCTCAGACGGGCCGTAGTAGAGTGTATCGTTCTTTTCCAAGCATCAGTTGCTTGATTTCCTAGGAGTTTATCACAAGGATGGCTATGGTTTGCAGCGCTGGACAAAGCGTGGATAGAGACAGACATCTCGGATATGGTGCCTATTCAGAATCCAGGTCAGGAACCGCTCTAATCCCAAACCATATCCACCGTGAGGACAGGTACCATATTTTCTCTGTGAAATTAGAATCACAGAAAATATTAACCATTCATTTGTTAAGACAAAAACAAAACAAAACCACGTTCTGAACAAATGAGGAGGAATATGGACTATGCTCTCCTCAGAGAAGGTATTTGTGTTTTGTTCCCTGGGGCAATGTAAGGACTAGAAGAGAAAAATGGAAGCTGAAAGATGAGGTCATAATGTATTATTTATTTTTTCCTCTCCAACCTCATCCTTTTCTCTTCTCCTTACAGAGCTAGCTATTCCAGTCTGGAAAGACCAACCCATCTTTGTCTGACAAGGGCTTCACAAAGGTAGCACACTATGGAAGACATTACAAGAGGAACATTACAGACCAGTTTAATGAAGGTGATCAGGTGTGGGCAGCATGCACTGCAGCAAACAAAAGCAATTTAACAGAATGGAAACTATTACCCATTGCATTTTGCCAGTGGTTAAATGACCATCTACTTTTGGTCATGGAAAATGTATGCAATTTAGACTGCATCATCTCAGAAGCAGTTTAAGAGAATTCAAATATCTGACAAGCAGCACACTGAATCTGTTTTACATACCTGATCGGTGTACCAGTAATACGGCGTGGGATCAATGCCCTCTCTCTTATAGCCTTCCAGTAGCTCCTCACTGTCCCAAATACGCATGGAGCCTCCAACAATTTCACCAACATTAGGCATCAACACATCAACCTACAACACACAACATGAGATCAAACTGTTACAGTTAAGCTGCCCTCAAAAGATGAAGCCCAACCTTATGTTTTACCACATATTTTTAACTCTCCATGACACAAGGAGGGAAGGCAATTCCTTCCAGACCCAGTTTACATATGGAAGAAACCAGCTGACTAGGATCTCTGACTTAATATTAACACTCTTGGTGACACTGAACTGTTAAACCACAAAAACAGCTGGTTTTTAAATAATACAGCCTCCAAAAAGTCACAGAAATGTTGTCATTAGACTAGCACTAACCAGAGGTCAATGAAAAGCATGTTCACTGTCATCTAGTGACATTTTTTAAGCACTTCAGTGTTGCTTCATTTGTTTTTACAGTATCAACAAGTGACGCCACGAAAGGCCCCAGACAAATTCTGGTATGAATTCTCCAAGGTTTTCCTGTAGTACTCATTCATTTTATGCTCATTCACAGAGACACTCGCACTCTACTTTAGAAGGCTGTAACACGATGTAAAACACCAACTTACAGATTCAGTAAGACGGGAATCGTCGTGACAGCGCTGCATATAGAAAGACTTTATCTCTGCAGGAAATCGGCACAACAAGATTGGCTCATTAATGGAGTCTGTCATCAGTCTCTCAGGAGCTTCAGGAATATCCTAGGGTTAAGGAGAGCTCTATTAATATTTAAAACCAAGAACACTCCAAAACCTCAAGACCCACAGCACATCAGGCAAGACACAGACAAAGACACTTTCAGACCACACTTATCCAAGCATTCATCCTGACGTATCTACATTTTTAAAACAAACACCTTAGAAGAAGAAACTGTATTTATATTCAAAAACATACAGGTCAGAAAAAAAAACTGTTTAACAGTCTACACAACATTTCACAGAGGAAACCAGGCAAACCTTAAACCTGAAGCAAACTTTCCAAACAACTAACACACACTGAAGAGCTTCATTTCCCTTCCCCAAAATAGGATCATGGTCCAAACGCATTGTTCTTCAAGGGGCTCTCATACCCTTAGTGGAAGACTGTGGGATTTTGGTTTTAATTTCTAAGGAGACTCAGAAAAGACTTACTTCCCCAAACTCGTAATAAGTACCATCTTCCTTCTTCACGTCGTGTTCCTTTAACCACTCAATTGCTTCAGCGTAGTTCATTCTTCGGAAAGGACGTTTGGGAGGCTTGAAGCCCTGTAAATAAGAGTAGACATCAAAATGCTTTGAAGGGTATCATTTTTAAAGATTTATTTTTCCAGTTGATCAGCAAGTCCACTTCCACACTCGGCGCATACATGTTACCCTTTGCAGGTTGTGTATCAACTATTACTTAAAAAGTTCAAAAGTACTGAAAAGCTGGAGCCCAACAAAACCATCTTCCAAGTTCCGTGCAGTTCACAGAACAGACGCTGAAAATGACAGCAGAAGAGAAGAGAGGAAGCATTTTCCTTTTCTGTATGAATTCACTACACATGTAGGTGCTTCAGACTGAAGTTTGCAGACATTCCACATGCAGTACCACAAAAGAACATTTTTGCTTCTTTGTGCATCAGACTGCTGCAGGATTTGCCTTTATGACAAATCCACAGGGCAGGTTGTGCTTCTGTTGCTTTGGACCTCCTGCCCATCTCAGTTCAAACTGAAAATGGAACCTTCCAGTACTCATCAGGAAAACAGGTCAAAATAACAGGGATGAGAGGGTCTATACATGCTCTGAGAGAAAAGCTAGTGGAGGCGATAAGATGCCTTTGAGACTACTGACTTTCTATGCAAAGGCAGGAGACAAAGGGTCTCTAGCAAAGGAAGACAGCTTTATAGAGCTGCGCCTTCCAGCACAGGGAATAAAACGCCAGGGTTGTCTCATTGCTCCCTTACGCTCTATCTGCAAGTACCAGCTGATCAATTTTATGAGCTCTAGGATAGAGGTTTTTATTCTACGGGTACAGCACATCTTACGATAAATCCCAGCACGCTGCTGGCTCCTAGACTTTACTAGCAGATAACTTCTTCCTCTGCAGCCCCCCAGCTTGTGGAAGAATCATTACCAGCCTCACAGCATTTTCACTCTTTGATATCATTTAATATTCTTACTTAAGTAAGCAGAGCTCGTTGCCATGCCCTGTCTTTCCCAGGTGAACATGGTCACTAGGAAAGGTAAAGATCAGACCTTGTCTGCCCAAGACTGCCCCACACTGCTGCTTACCGGGTTTAGCTCCAACAGTAAGCTTGATGCAGGTGACGCCAAGACTCTGTCAACTACATCACACACCAAGTTCTCCAGACGGTCCAACAAATCCTCAAAAGTTATAAAGGGACATTCAGCTTCAATATGAGTGTACCTGAAAAAACAGGTCACGACGTTACAAAACCACACAACAAATCTATAGCTATGAAAAAAATTCTCTTAAGAAAAAACATGAAACCCACTTTTGTCCCGTTTTTCAACTCTCCCACTTCTACACTGCAAAGGAAATAAGGTTCTTAAAATAAAAAGGAAGGAAAACAGCCGTATGAAGTGTATATTCTAAAAACACAAAGCTTCCTAAAACCGTATCAGCTCTGTTTTGCGCAGATCTCCCTTCACTGAACATCAAATAAGACCAGCTGGACGTTCACTGATACAAGGAGTTACCTCCAAGTACACTTTTGACCAGCTGTTCCACAGCAGCATTATGCTGCCTTCTCACTGTATGTTGTCATCCAACCACGGGCTACTCCCCTTGTTTTAAAAATTCCCTTATACACAAACAATAGAGAAGTATACTCTCTCCGTACTCTGCCAAGTGTCTGCGTGTCCTGGATTGCTCAGCTCTGTATGACTGAGCAACACAGAAAACATCTCCTAATGCTGGAATGCAGGTCTCCAGATAGAGCTGGGACGACTGTGTTAGGTATGCCTCTTCTCCAAAATAATCCAGCTTGAATAAGGTTGAACCTCCTTCCACCTGCGTCTGGACTAAAGTCGGCGGTGTGACCTGTTAAAGAACAGGAGAGCCATTACTTGAGTGAAGAATTAAGGACAATGATGACAATGTGTTATAGCAGCGATGTAAGGCATATTCTTCCAGAAAACAACCTACAAAACTTTCCTACCTATGGCTGCAAGAACTTCTTCCTGATATCCTTCAGCACCCCGAAAGGAGGTACACAGGCTGTTTGTGAATCATGCTGTAACACTTACCTCAGAAATGTCTACGCAACTTTGAGATCTATGTCTACAAAAGCAATCACGTAATAGTTTCCTAAGAAACAGATTTTTTTCCCCCCAACGTTTCAAGTCAATCAGAAAGTCTGTACAGGTTTTCCCAGAAAAAGATAGCCTTGCAGTAAGGAAATTAAAGTAGTCATTTACCAACAAGGGCAAATATACTTACTTCATAATATCCATTGGCAAAGAAGTGATCCCTGAAGGCCTGTACTACCATGGAGCGCACCTTGAAGATTTTGGACATATTCTCGCCTCGAATCATCATGTGCCTGTTGTTAAGCTGCACGTCAACCTCCGAATCCTCATTGAGGAGATTGTCAGCCCCTCCTGCTGGGGCCAGACCTATAAGCTCCCAGTAATCGCAGTTCAGCTCATGGCCTCCTGGAGCCTGCCAATTTAAAAGGGAAACAAAACTTTCAGAAGTCTGCTTTTCACTCCCTGGATGTCCCCATCTGGCACTGTGGCAGAGATGTCAGTCTAGTTTAAACAAAAGATACTAAAATCCTTCTAATTGCTGTATTATCAGTAACTGCCTTGTAACCCAGTCACACCACCCTTGAAAATGCCATTTGTAACGCACCAGAAGTCTGTCAGACTCGATGTGAATGGGACTGAGTACTATTGTCAAATAATTAGAGGCTTCCAGATGTGTTCTGTTGAAACGTAACATACCAGAGACAGTTGGGTTTATTCAGCTGGAAGAACAGAAAGCTGAACAGAAGGAAACTACTTGCCACTTTCAGTTATTTCATGGACGGTTACAGAAGAAATGGAACAAAAGGACAAATGTCTTAAGTTGCAGGAAAAAGAGACTTCAGTTGGCTATAAGAAAAATTCTGCACGAAGGTCACAAAGAGAGAAGGGACCTCGCCGACTGTGTAATCTCTTTGGTGATGTTCATAAACACACTTGGGCAGCGTGACATTCAATGGATTTTGTTCTTCCTACTGTTTGGACAACATTCCCCTTCCATTCTGGTGGCTAACTTCCAAAAGTCACTTAGGTTACGCCAGAGGAAGAGCTAGCTCACTGCAGGTACTTGTGAGCTCATCTGTCAGAGATGTCTGAGCCACCTTTCCAGCAGGCAGCATTTCACCACGACATGAAAACAGCAGGTTCGTGCTGGCCAGGTCCCCTCTGCTACCTGCTGCGACAAGCAAGCTGAGGTGCTAGGGCTCCATCCTGGCTGCCTGCACTGCCGGCCTCACCAGCTCCCCCGTGTGGGTCACAGCAGGCTTCGGTCCTGCTTTTTCTGTTCACAGCACTTTCATGGGATAATTGCAGATTTACAAAGTCTAGTTAACAGATTTTATGATGATTTTGTGCACTAAAAGCATTCCATTGCTGCAATGAGACACCAAACTGAAGTGTTTTCAGTGTACAAAACACTCTGAGCAGTCACATACAAATGAGTAATTTAGTTACCAAATTGCATGAAAGCCGTTTAAAAGAAGCATTTGATCCCTGTTTACCTGGGCTTGTTTTTAGGCTTCACAGTAGTAGAAGCTGTGAAGAAAAGGAAACGATACTAATTGCTGATAGGCAAACACACCGGGCAATGGACTCATGTTTCACTGAGCTTGGCTCTGTAACCGTTGGAAGATCTCTTGGGGATAGGACTCGAGTAACAGGGAAAACTAGAACCATGAAGCTTATCCAAGTTCCCTTAGCAAAACATGCTGGTAATGGCCAACTCAGTAGGAGAAGAGAATTAACCCTGAATTCTTAACCTCACAAAACAAAAACTGAAAAAACTCATTAATTACCCCTGTTAAGGAAAATAAAACTATTTATTTAATATGGTTTTCCACTGTTCTATTCTAGGAAGTATCGATGTGACATATCAGGGGGAAATTGTTTCAGGCAGACGTTAAATGAGAAGAGCCATACAGTTCCCATGACACACAACAAAATGTGGGTGACAGCAGCAACCTTGGGATGTTTGTTCTTTTTCCTAAAACAAATTCCCCCTGAAATTATTCAATAATTATTTCCACCTCTGCTTTTCCTCTCATCAGGAAAGTGATAAACTGTTGAAACAGAGGACCAAAACACACAGCACTACCCAGCTCCCTACCTGCTTGCCTTCAGGAACAAGGTTCAGCACACCATACACTGCAACACTGCTCTCTGTGGAGAGAATTAGCCCGTTGTAACACTGACACTACAGAGAGAAAAAGAAAGAGACATAGTTATGGTAATTTTTAATTTTTGGTTTTCCTATCTACATCTCCTATTGGAGACACAGACGAGATAACGAGCTCTCACATTGATAAAGAACTCTAGCATCAGGAGACAGAATTTAACCAAAATACAACATAATCAGTAGATTTAGGGGAACTTCCTATTGTTTACATAATAGATGGATGAAGTATGAACACCTTATTTATTTAATGAGGGAACAGAACTAAATCATCACAACTTACCAGTTCATCTGAAAGGACACACTGAAGAAAACCTGTGCCATCTCTCAAAACAATGAACATGAGATTTTTTCCTGGTAGGAAAGAGAAGAAAAAAAAAATACAGACTCAGATGTATTCACCTGATCCATTTGAACAGACCCACCCGCAAGAAACACTACCCCCTGACATGCAGACTATTAACGAAGGACCATGATCACATTTTTCCATTAAAGAAAAAAAAAGCAAAGATGTTCCAAGAAAGCACTGAAGCATTAGCTCAAACATAAAAACATCACGAGCACTGCTTGCTCCGAGCTCAGCACAGCTGGGACTGCACTGCCACGCCGTGACCTCAGGCAGGCTCTGGTCCAGGGGGGCCACAGACCCCCTGTATGCCTGATGTGGATAAAGTGACATCGCCTCCACCCACATCTCCATAAGGCATCTGATTAAAACATTGATTTTCCATAAAATGCTCGTGATATCCTGATCCATAACTGCTCGGTCAAGTCCTTCAGTGACAAGAGTTATGTTACTTTACGATACTTTAAAGAAAATTCTCGCTCACTGATTTCACTACGAGCAGATGCTAGCTAGCTCCTCAGTCTCTAGGATTAGTTAAGAAATGAGTCTTCTGAAGAAATTCTATATGACTGGCCTCCAAATCAAACATCTCAAAAGTTTTTGACTAAGAAACATCTACACCCTCACACATTGTACAGAATTTGTTAGTGTTGTGTTGATCAAGTGTGACACACCAAATCTAAGTGATGAACTAAAAATTTCAGACTAGACGCTGTCTGATTCATTAAATGTCCAAACGTTGATGGCTGCTTGGTTTGTTCCATCTCCCTGCGTAGGTTCAATAAGCTTTAAGTGCCTCTGGCTTACCTTGCCTACGTAACCTGTGAATCCAGCCAAAAATCTTTACTCTCTTGCCTCTATAAGCCTCCAGAGCACAGATCTTTACCTGTAAAGCAGGGGATAAAAGCAATCAAAAATAGAAATGTAACTCACCATTTAGATGGTGTTTTCCACACAATTACTTTGAGTACAAGTGCATATGACATTTCCCTCCCCAGAACAGCCCCTCCCATCCCCTGAAGCTGGGCTCAGGATGTATACACAGCTATCGATAATGAACAGCTGCTCAGTTAGAAGAGTATTTTATCCAGTTGCACTGGATATAAGGTGCACCAATTCAACAGAAAACTTAAAAGAAATGCATCAGACACCTTCTCCTGCACTCTGAAGTATGAGCATACCTCTCTGGATTCATTTCTGAAGGCATCAGCACTCGAAGAAGCAGAGGGCATCAAACCTGGATCTGACAGGGAGGCACCCAGCTGTGTAGCCGAGGTTCTGACGCTGCTGTAGCCACAACACTTAATGAAGCAGGCAGCTTCAGAAGGGACCGTTCAGGCAGTTAAACACTAACAGCGTGCGCTGGTTTGAAAGTGACAAGGATTTAAACCAAGCTGGGCCTGGCTGCCCCTTTCACAAAGGGGAACCACAAGAGTGCCTTGCTCTGATCAGATCCATTTTCTGCACTCTACATAGAAACTGTCCAAAAAAACCCACCCCACAGCAGCACACATCTGCCTACTACGTTAAGGACTGCACCAGATCCAGCAGGACTCTACAAATAGCCACATAAGAACTGCTATGTGTGTGTGCCAGTGACTTAAATTATGTCCTCTGACCAGCAGGGTCTCTTCATCCTCCACCATGACAATAACCAACCAAAGTAAAACTCACAAACATTTCCAAATGGTTTCCATATGGTATCTGCCAGCAAACACTGACAGAGAAAAGCCTGATGCATGACCTGAGGAGGTTTAGATACCCACCAAAAGCATTAATATATAGACTTTGGTCTTTCTCAGGTATACAGATAACCAGAAAAACAAAAGTACATTTAGTGACAGCAACTGGACAGTGGCCTTCAGCAGCTGTCAGAACCACAACGCAGAGACACAGCCTTTGTGCAGACAACACACTGGAAATCAGGCACTGGACCCTACTCACACATTTTGGCTCTGGAAGACTGGGATCATTCTTGATAACAACTTTCTTAGCTTCCTCCAGGTTCTTCTCTCTTCTCAAGAGATCTTCTGCCTGGTTTAGGGGAAAAAATAAGTATTAAATAACTGTGGCCAGGCTATGTAAGAGTCTCACTCTTTATAATTACTGGGGACTATAATGTACACTTACAGACAGACGTCATAAAAAGCCTTGTTGTTACCCTGCTGGGGCTTGGCCTGCCCTGATTTAAGACCAGGATGAGAAACAATGCACAGAAGCATTTCTCATTTTTCCCCAAAGTCTGAAGGTAACAGATTGCCATCATTCACCCTCACACAGTTCCAGTCATTGCTTGTCCTAATCTAAGCCAAGATACGCTGTAAATAACGAATGTAAAACATATGACACAGATGAAGAACGAACTGAGCGTTTATGGGGCATGGGAAACAACAGCAGCACTGCTTAATATTTTTGGAAAAGAAACAAGGAATGCTTCCTCCAGCTTGGCACCGTCTGCAACCTACCTCTTTCTTCTCCTTAGCCTCATTCTTCATTTGTTCCCTGTGCCACAGTTTTTTGACATTTTTCATCTGTGACTTTGAAATAATGGCCCATCTCTAAACCAAACCAAGGAGAGAGCAGAAGACAGAAGATTACATTTGTGTCCCTTTGCACAAAAGAGTATTAAAATAATTCCTGTTGGAAGGTGTTACAGCACCTCATTTTCCTTTTGTGAATCCACGTAAATAGTAGGAAACGGTTCCTTTCCTGCTGTCATCAAAGCCTGAAAAGCGGGGAGGGAAAAAAACAACAGAATCAACAACACCGCAGGTGAACGAAAGTAATCCTGCTAAAGGGACTACTTCTGACATTTTGGTCGGAGCTGCAACAACAGCTATAAAATTTACATTTAGAAAAACACAGCCAATCACCTGATCTAAAGCAGCTCACACACTTCAGATCAGCAGGTTCTCTGCACTTACCTTTAAGACAGTTTTGAACGGTTTCTTCTGTGTCCCATCGCCGGTGGAATCACTGCCCTCTCGTTCGGACACATACAGCTCCTCTGTAAGACATGGCAAATACAATTACTCAAAAAAAGAAGTATCAACAGTGGAAATACACGGGAAGAAACTGGACACACACAAAAGATATAAAATCTTCATGGTTATCAGCAGCGATAAACCTTCAGAAACAATCACTTGGTCACACAAGTAAGAGTCAGTTAATATTTTCCACGTTAAAAATCGTTTCACGCAGAAAACGCATGGAGCCAAGTAGGAAGCAGCTTTCTTTGGACATAACTTCTAGGCAAGGAGGTAGATAATAAGCCGGGAAAAGTCAGAGAAGTCAAGCCGGCATTTAGCTCACACATAGCCAAGAAATGAGTCACAAATTAAAAAGAACAGAAGACACTTCTCTTTTTTTTTTCTGCTGCCTGAACTGACGCACAGGCCAGGGGACAAGACCTGCATGGCCCAGAGCCTTCCATGACAGCCACTGCCCCTGCCAGGTGCTCCCACTCCATGCCCTGACGGCTAAAACGTGAACCTTCTTCTGTAGTGCAGTTTGGTTTCGATTTCCATGGATCAGGGCACACTGAACTTGTGTCTGGCTGCTCGGCCATTACAGAACCCCTGCTTCCCACATCAGCACTCCCACCCTGTGCTCAGAGCACCCCTCAGCCTCCTCCTCCCCTCCCACCTCAGCAGGCAGGCAGGGGGAGCCGGGGCTGGGTAAATCCAAACACAGCTGTGTAGCTGTGTGTGCATAACCATGCAGGTACGAACTGCCGTGTAACCACCCACACGCACACCCATACGTGCACACACACACGCTCCATTCCTCCTCGCTACCCTCGCACAACTGAGCCAGCAACGCAGCAGAACTGATGTCGGCAGCGTTATCCTTAGCGAATTCTCATTCTCTTGGAGGAGGAAGCGACGCTCTGCTGCTCTTTCCTTCTTACCCAGGTCATTCCGAACAACCTGGCTTCCTGCGGAGGACCAAGGTGCCCGTTAAGGGCAGGCAGCACGCACACAGACACACACACACACAGACACACACACACACACACACAGACACCACAGGGCCCCGCTCTCCCCGCTGCCCCCCGGCCACCCCCGGCCCGGCCTCAGGGCCCGGACCCGTCCCGCGAGGCCCCGGCGGGGCGCGGCCGCCGCCATCTCCTGCCCGCGGCGAGGGCCGCGGGGCCGCCCGGGGCCGGCCCTGCCCGCCCCGCTCCGCTCCCCGGGGCCTCAGGGAGCCTCAGGGGGCCGCAGCGCCCGCCCTGCCCCGCTCCTCACCCAGCGCGAGCGCCGCCGTCCTGCCCAGCACCTCCCCGGCCATGGCCGCGCTGCCGCAGCGCTCCGGAAGCGGCCGCCCCGCGCTTCCGCCGCCTTGCATCAGCCGCGCACCGCCCCCCCCGCACCGCCCCTGTGAGGGAAGCCGGAAAGTTCCCCGTGATTATTTTCACCGGGTTTTTGCATTGTACGTTCTGTGAACACGGGCTGCGTGCCGTGATTTCTACTGTAACACCAGTTCAGCAGTCAGAGCACGAGTGAAAAGCAAATAAAGCGACACGTTTCTGTATCTGGAGTGCCGGGATGTGCCAACGTAACGGGGCTCAGAGAAACACGCTTCGTTGTTAGAACAGTGTTAACGCTATTTATTCACTGCCCATCGATTCGTGTCTCACACAAAAACAACCGGTCACCGACTGGCGGCTGCTGTATCTGAAACGGGAAGGCACAAACTGAGGGTCCAAAGGGCGGCCCTGTGGAGATTCAATCTGCCTGCCCATAAACACAGCACACGGGCAGCCACAGGCACCCTGCACGGCTGCAAGGACAGAAACGGCCAGTGAGGAAACAACATCTGGTAGCTGTGGACTCAGATTTCTTTATTCCAGGGAAAAGCAAGGAATTCGTTCTGAAAGGAACAATGGCATATCGCTTACACCGACCGTATGGAAAGAAAAGTCTCTCAATTTAACGCAGCAAGCTGTAGTCAACCGTTCCAGAAATCAAAACCAACAAAAATGACATCTATAAGTGTCAGAATACCCAATAAAGTCTGATGCTGACCAAAGTTTGTTACCAGATATTTCTTAATCTCAGCTGCACAAGCTCAGACGCGAGTATCTGTGACTCTCGAAGGTCTGATCATCTAACACGACATGATCGTTGTACAATTTAATGAAATGGAGCACACAAAGTAACTGCTGCTTGGCAGTTTGTTTTCGAAGACACAATATGAAATGTAGCTGCAATCTTATGTAAAGAAAAGTTGCAATTCCAGGCATGGAATTATAATGCCAGTTTCATGCTCTAACACACACATCCTTCAGCTTCACATTGAACAGAAATCAGTTGCACAAGGATAAGTCGCTCTGCTGAGAACTCTTGGCTCTTCTGTGCTTTCAGTAGTCCAAAACCAAGAAGTTCTGTGGTAAAGCATAAAAATTTGGTTTAAAAAAATATCCTGAGTTTGTTTAAAACAACAACACCAAAAATGTGCAATCATTTGGATAAGAAACCTCTCCCCAAGAGTGTAGTAAATCAGCTTGCTTCACGAGCTTCTCTAACTTCCGTGACAGCGTTGCCCAGGACTGCATCCAACGGCGCTCGCTTTTTCCGTATGCTGCGTCCAGAAGCAATAAGATCGGCGTATCCTCGTTGATGGGAGAAAGCATAAGCAGAACGACGGCTGGATACCCCTCGGCGAAAAGCACTCTGCCTCCTCTTCCACTGTTCTTCCTCTGCCATGTATTTCTTACGGTTTTTCTGAATCTTCACGCATGCAAAGACAAATTAGTTTATGGATTGAAAGGGAAACAACATCTTTTTATTTTGCATTTACTTTCTTGGGAAATAATCCGATAGGCTTTATTAAAAAAAAACAAACAACAAATAAAAAACAAAGAAAACCAGAAACTGTTTAATAGGAGTGTTTTCTTGTTTAAATTTGATTGTTTGAAACAAGAGTATATGAGGTCATATATCAAAGTTTCTGAAGGACTTACTGTATCACTTTGTACTTCATTATTTTCATTTATCTTTGAAATGTCTTTCATTAAAGTGGATTGAAGATGCTTCTACTGAAAGCTATTACTGTGCTTGCATGCTGATACTTATTTAATACCTTTTTAAACAACTGTGTTTCAGAGTCTGTTACTCTGTTACATACATCATAACCCTCCCTGTGCAGTTTGCCAGCTCAAGGCAAAAGGGAAGCAAACCAGAAGTGGCCGCTACACCCTGGTACGTAATAAAGACACTCCAACACAGCCCAAATAAAAAGCAGAAGTAATACCATCAGTAGCTTCAAAGCAGGTTTCTGTTTTACAAAGAAAAATGCTGTGCCAAGACAAAGGCTAAATTAGCGCACGCTGAACTGTGTGCTGAGCTTTCACATGTAGCTCTGCATTACACAGAAGTACGCGAGGAAGCCCCGGGAAATAAGCACACATCAAAGCACGGATCCGCACAGGACGGCAGAACGCCACGGCAGTGTTTGTCACGCGGCTAGAGGCAGGCCTGGCCTGGCCGCTGGAGAGCCCAGCTGCAACGCTCCCTGGCCTGGGACCTTATTTGTTTCCAGTATCAGTACCAATACCGTGCCTGTAAGTAAACATGTGCTGAAAATAACATAAACCTTTACTCACTCGGTCACTTTCCGAAGGCCAAATTGTCATTGATAAGAAACGCTGTGCCACCACGGGAAGTAAGCAGACAGCGATCGTTAAAGCCATGGTCAGCCAGAGGTACGGCTGTCTCAGAGCGTTTGGAGCAGTTCCTAGGGACATCAAGAGGGTATTTAGATGTAAGGCAACATATGAAAGATCTATCTCTAGGAAAATTAGGAAGCTCGCTATTCCTAAAAATAAATGGTTTCCAAACGACTGCTCCTCGCACCTCCCTGGACTTCCAACAAAATCCCAAGGAGCTGATAGCAGCATTTGGCTCTATCTTGCTTTGGGCTTTTACCTTCCACTGATCAGAGCAACTTGGCAAACAAACACCCTGCAAGGTCATCACATTCTCTTTACTTCAAAGCTGCCCCACCAATTTTACCTTAGTTTTCATTTGCAAACACTTCCTGCTGGGCAGCATCAAGTTCCAGCTTGTTTTCATTGAAAGAAATGAAATATTCTAGTTAAGCTGGCCTCAAACATAACAAAACCCTTCCTTGGAAATATATTTGTATTTAGCATCATTTCCTTACACAGGCATTAGTTCGTGCCACGACATTTTGGCAGTGGTTCTGCTCAAGTTACATTGCTTTGTAATGTTCTTGGGAGACAGAAACAAGACACGCAAAACACAAGGACTGACCTGTGAACTGAAAAGCAGAAGGAAAGAGAACATGGATCCCAGCACTGTGTAAGTCAAATGTGATACCGAAGTAAATTGCAATACTCCCAAACACTGAGAAGGCATTAACAAAAGTCCAGTAAGATGTATCCAAACCAATCTGAAAGGAAACAAAAACTCCAAATGAGTTCATTAATTCAAAACCAGATCACTATCAGGACAAACATTGTGGTCAAGTAATCTCTTACCCAGTTACATTTCATTCTGAAAGAGTGTCAACAGAGAAGAGAGGTGGAAATAAAGTAGAAAATTTTGCAAATTGTTATGTTTTTACTAGACATATTTATAAACATGGCCAGAAGTTGTTTTCAGAGCAAGAGACATCAGGAAGCTAAGCCTACTTGCCTGAAGGTTGACAACAAATACAAGAGAAGATGCTGCTGTGATGGCAAATGACTGATAATCTGAAGGTGCTTCTCCGTCTTGTCCCATAGTTTGAAGGTAAGCTCCGTATGGTATGAAGAAGATTATCAGTGATGTTATAGCTCCATGAAGCAAACTTAAAAAGAATTTCTTGTAGTTAAAAAGTAAATCTTTCTGTCCCAAAACATACAATCTAGGGAACCGAAGACTCAATTTGTCGCTCACGTCCTTAATAAAGGAAAAAAAAAATAAAAAATTGCTGCAATTTCTTGTTCTCAGTGTGAACCTTGGAATAGTAAGAAATTCAACTCTATAATGCACCAAAGGGAATGGCAGATTCCTTTTTCTTTTCAATCAGCAGCATGGGCAGCCAACTTTCCAGAGTAACGCATACAACTGGGACGAACCAAGACTAGAGGACATGTCTTACAAAGCTGTCACATACCCCATTTTCAGGACTTAATGGTCTTCTCCAGCCTAAATGATTCTATGCTTCTAGGTTCTTAGCCCCTTATTTGCACAGACGAGACCATCTGCAGTTGTGTCACTCTTAACAGCTACGTATTGTTTTGGAGGCTTTCCCTGTGCTGTGAATTAGCAGACTAGGGCTATCATCACACATCCTGACTTTTAGTCTCTAACATATACTCAAGTGAGAGCTTAATTTGGTACTGAATTTATTTCTTAAGTTTTACTACAAAAGTAAACAGAGGCATTGATTTGCCTGATCAGCTTGTACGGAAAAACAAGCAAAGAAGGCCAAAAGGACTTGTTCTGTTGAATTAAAACAAATGCTGCACACCAAGACTTCCCGTCAAGTACAGTCATTCAAAACTGTTCATTTCCTGCATCTTCAGGTCAGAAGGGTACACAAGGATTATCTTTTCCATTAATAAAGCAGCCCGTTTCTGTGCTGTGTGTGTGATGGCATAGAACAGCAGGTACTGAGAACTATTTTTTGGCAAACAACACTAGCACTGAAGACCTCTGAATTGATTCACTTTGGGTATTTCAGTAAGCCTCTGCTTATTGTCTTTTGTTACCTCGCATCCTGCATAGGACTACATTCAACAAGGATGCCTTGTACATAAAACAAAGCAACCAGTTTCTGTGTAATTTAAGACTTGATTCTAACTGCCTCTGAATTCATCTGTTGTCAACAACGTGGAGAGTACCTGGTCAAACAAGCCAACCAGCAGAACCGGCAGACTGGAGTACAACACATTGTACAGGGTGATGAACCAGTCTTCATATGCTGTCTGAAACAGAAGAATTTAAGTCGATAATGATTACCTTTTGATTTCACCTTTTCCTCCTAATTCCTGAGAAAAATTGTGTGCTCCGTTATAGCATTAAATTACCTGTCTCTGTTTACCCAAAAGGCAAGAAACACCCTAGGTCAAAAAGCTTTTAAAACCATTTCTAGCACGTATTAAGCTTCCCGCTCCTTACAAACCATCACCACCACCTGACCTGAAACACAACTGAAACTGAACACCACACGGAGTGTCAGCCTGGTTTATAGCCGCATTTGTGACTGTGATGAGCATTCACACACAAGTTGGGGAACTCTGGTTTCTTCACTTTTGTTTTTTCCTGAGCATCCCTAATTTCCACCCAGAAAATGCTATTAACCTCAGGCAGGGATGCTTGTCTGTGACTATGGCCCTGATGCTCCGCGCTGGACCATGCAATTACATCTTCCTGTGTTTTGCT